CAAATTCTTATCTTTCGTGTATTTCTATTATATTTTTGTTGTTTTCTACACGGCACAGCTGCAACATGAATACTCAAAGTACTCAGTAAGCCTATGTTCAAATTACTTAAGCATTACTTATTAAGAGAATTCAGCCTGCAATAGAGCTTCCTTTTAATAAATGCATACAAAAATGCAATGGAAAATCCTTTATTCTTTATATTGCACAGCCAGCCATTAAAAATATCAAGCTATACTCCACCCCCAACCCTTTAAATCCCCTCGGGACAATTACGTTGACATTAAGATTGGAAACACATGTCATTTGTGACTATAAATCAAGCTAGTGTTGTTATATCCAGTGGTATGGGTGAGTATGGTGAAAGAACAAAAACCCCTTTTTGTTATTTTATAAGTCAAAAGGTCAAGAGACTTTGCAGTGAACAAATCACATTAAACTACACTGCAAAACATCATAAAGAAACTCAGTGGAATCAAATGAGTTGAATGAATGAACTGCTGATAATTCGCTCAACTCGCTCAACAAAACTAGCATATTAACAGCTGAGGATTAAAACTGACGTAATAAGTAATAAAAACAAAACTAACCATGATGACGTTTAGTATTGAATTCAGTCCGAGCCCTGTACACTAAGTGACTGAGAGCAGCCTCACAAGTTGTCTTTGTACCGACTCTGGTACAAAATGACTTCAGCAGCTGCAGCTGTAAGTTCCTCATGTCAAACGAAGAGCTGACTCTTCAAACTGAGAAAACATAAAAGGAAAGCAAATCTGACTGTAATGACTGTCAATGTGGCTGAACAGCTGATTCAACTTCAGCTGATTCATCTCGAGTTTACTGAACTTGTTTTTCAGTTCAGTTAATTTAACTTTAATTTAAGTTAGTTTTACAGTTTGAAACTCATAAAATGAGGTTGACCTATTCATTGGTTATGCATTCATAACTAGTTATGTTCGTCTTATCAGATACAATGCAGCTTTCTTCTCCCCTCAGTGTCAATTCACCAAACGTACACATTTAGAGTTGGAGAGCGACTTCAATACTGCAATCTTTTAGCATCAGTATTGAAGTTGGCAAATTCAGTCTCGCTACACATATTTCCAAGTGTTTTTATCAGTGTTATTCATCTCTGTATTATTTTTGCTTTCAAGTGAAGCAAGTAAAGACATTTTTGATCGTACTGCCTGTTCCTGTCTGTGCACTGGGTCAAAGTTCAGCAAACGGAAAAAAAAACAAAAACTTCCAGGTTATTGATTTTCCCCCCTCGCACAATGCTTCCAGGTAAAGAGTTTGACAATATGGGTCTTATATAAGCCAGTGACAGGGAGGAGGATGTTACAAGGGAGGGAGGGAGGGGGGAGAGGAAGGAAGGAAGAGAAAGAGAGGGGGGGGAAATACTCAAGGCCACGCAGGCGAGCTGACTGCCAGGCAGACTGTCTAGATCAGTGTGCGCTCTGTGCTTCTCTCAGTCACTCTCACACACACAATCAGAAAAGAGGAAACCCATAACTGCATTCCCTCTCACTGCTCTGAGAGGTAGTTGATACGAAGGGCAAAGTGTTACCGGGAGAAATGAAGGAGAGAGGGGGAGAGAGAGAGAGAGAGAGAGAAAGAGAAAGCCTGCTTTCTGCTGCTCACCTTCATTTACCCGCAGGATAGTGTGACGATAATAGCTGAATATGTGTACTTACCAGCCCCCTACCAAACATTACGCACACCTGGGAGCTAAGCTTGGGCAACCAGACAATCAGATATGCTCTGAACAGGGTTATTCAGGTTATCAAACCTGCCCCGCTTCACACATTACATAACTAATAGTTCTAGGAGCAAACAAAAGAACTACAGCACTTTTCTTTGTTTTAAATTATAACCAGCACTATCACCATCAGACTATTACTTGTTTAAGTGCTGAAATAATTACCGGTAGTCAACAACAATTTATCAATCAACAGAAAATAAACTGTCCACCACTTTGATAGTTCGTCGTTTAAATCACTTTTAAAGCACAAAAACGAAAAACTCATCAACAATATAGCCTGACTGATGCTAGATTTTTTATCATGATATAGCTATGAATAGTAATGTTTTTTTATAGGTGCTATTTGTACATTTTGCTATTGCTTCATAGCCAATGTTAGAATAGTGTTTACAATACAAAACGTTATAATTCGTGGTCTGAGCAGTGCAACTTCTTCAGGGCAGACTGGACGTTACAGTGACTCGGTATCAGAAAGTTACGAGGCATGCTAACGTCAATAGAGGAAAAGAAGTGATAGAAAATAGAAGCAAAACAAGAGAGCTGCTTTCCGCCGCTGGAGACAGCTCTTGGCAAATAAAGGAATAAAATTTGACGCCGAATTTGCAACGTTTACGTGCAAGTAAACAGCTGTTAATAATAACATTGGCTATGTAGCAAATAGCTCCCTCAATGGCTCCTGTCAATGTTCTGACCTGAGTACTCAGTAGTTATTACTATATTATTACATGAGTACTCAGTAGTCATGGTTCGCAGCACACACATCTTCAGACTCAACCTTCATTTTGATCTCTACTACACACCTGTAAAGTTTTGTGCCTGTATCTTGCACATGACACTGTCGTGATGATAAAATCTGTCCTCAGACAGACAGATAGACATATAAACACCTGCCTAAGTACTCAAACCTCCTCTGTGGTAGTTCTCGCTACAGTAGTTGTCTCCAGCAACACGTTGCGCTACGATGACACACACACAGACTCATAAGATGAAAACAACACCAGCCCCTGCTGTTGCGGCTGGTTACAATCTTAATTCAGATTCCTTAGAATTATTATTTTTGCTCTCCACTGATATTTTGCACATTTGAGAAACACAGACGAGTAGAGAAGTGTTTTGTCAGGTTGTTATCATCAAAGACAACACCTGAGTTCCTGCAACATAGTTTTACATTTGAAGACAGTGATCAAAGCTGTATTGTTTTTGTACAGCTTTGTATTTTCTCTCACTAAAAGGAGTACGGGCCGATAGCCATGACCTCTCATTCATCAGTGTTTGGTTCAGTTTTGCAATTTAAAGTCTTTTTCTCTGTAAATTAGTACAAAATGAGTAAAAAAAAGTACAAATAATGAACTTCTAAGCACCAGATTAGCCAGGCTTGGTAAACTGACCTTCATCAGTTAAGTTAAAACCAGGGTGGGAAACATGAACACATTCCGGTAAATATTGAGTGAGGCCACAGGGGTTAATGTTCAATCAGACTCAGACGTTCTGGCACATGTCCAGTCTTTGTTTAGGTGATTCTGTGGAATGCTACAGTGAAGTAATGAAATAACTGGGGCGTCCTGGTAGTCTATGGGTGTAAGAAGTTGTCCATGTAATCACAATGTCCTCTCTTCAAATCTAGATGGGGACCTTTAATCCCAATCTAACCAGCTTTCTCTCATCTCACTTCCTCTCTATACCATCCACTATAAAAAATATAGGCACAATAAAGCAAATATAGGCACAAAAATCCAGATTTTAGTTAATCAACCAGTTGGCTAATAGGCTTCATGTAGCCTGAGCTAAGTTCAGAGGAACGCAACCATGCAGAATGTGTAGGGCTCTCAAACACACACCGCTTGGACATGTTCAAACACAGCACGGAGATACCCTAAGCAATGAGCAACCTGAAGAAAGAGACATACCAAAGAGAAGTATAAAGCATTATAAGCTAGAAATGGATACTAGTTAAGAAGCCTGTCTATGGTGGATTCTCATATAGACCACAAGAGAGAGATCAATTTTATTTTTCTCCTGGGTTCACATTTTTCAAGAACAACCCAGCTTGTTCTCTGATAATCCTCTCCACAACTTGGTTATTCTCTGTGCAATAAATACAGTGTTAGTTTCATATGTCTCCTACACCCTCCCTCTGTTATTTCAAGCTAAGTTTAAGCACCAGTTTAAGAGAGTTCATGCAGAACAGCTTTGTTTTAAGCAGTTCTGAATTAAGAGTGTGCACGCAGAGTCTGCAGCTTCACACATCTGAGGGCTAATCGAGGCCAAGCTTAAAACCTGTTTTACAACATAGCAAAGTTCTTGAACACATCCTACTGCAACACAACCACACGAACTACAGGCTGTGCATCTAGCAAGAAGCAGTTGGCAGGTTTACAAAAGGTTTGCAATGTGCACACAAAGACCAAAGTTTCCTCTACATTTGACAATGACAACACCCACTAGCTATGTGAACAAGCATCATCCACTCCTGTGTATGACATCAGGGACAGCAACTATCTATAGCTGCAATAACAAAGTTTCACATAGAAATACTTTCAATCTCATGATAATTGACTCCATCACCTCGGGAATTATGGTCCTTTAATAACCTACTGTAAGGTTAAAGTCAGGGGTTCATTTTTTATTTTTTTTCCGTTTTAAGTGGTGACAAGTCAAGTGTTGCGTGCATTTGAGTGTGGGAACTTGCAGCAAGTCTGTCACTGTCATGTGTGCACAATAAAAATATCTATTCCTTCCACGAGCCTTAAATAAAGTGTCAAAAGAGGAAGTATAACCTATAACATCAAAGGAAGCTAACTTGATGTCAGAAGTTTCCTGTCGGTGGGATTACTTCAACAAATATACACTGAGAGCACTTCTAACTTTGGATAAGTGAGAATAAACTGTGAGTTTCAAGCTTCTCCGGTGTTTTCAGAGCAGTAAATATTTTTTTTACAGACGCCGTGTTGACAGCAGCTTGAGGTAGCTCATGTTAACATTAGCTAGAAATGCAGCCAAATCCAGGGATGGAGGTGGCGTTATCCAGTTAACCAAACAGCTAGCTGGCTAGGCTAAACGGCTAGCCAACTGGCTTGCTAACTTTAACTCCTTATTGCCAAAAGCTGAACGTATAATTTAAGACACTGACACTCGGTTTAACGCTTTACGTGGGTTCGACTTGTTTTATGTGTTGAGTCGAAAAAGAAAGAGCAGTTAACGTATAAACACAACACAAGCGCCACATCATGGAAAACTTACCCATTCCTGTCCTTCGCAACGCCTCGCTATCAAATGTTGGGAATCTCGTATCCAGCGGGCTCGCTGCTAGCTAGCGACTAGCCAGGTAGATGTCTATAATCGACCACAAACTGTTTTTTGTCGATTCACAGCCGATAAAGAAGTCAATTCAGCCGTTTATCCATTCGCCCTTGCCCCAGCAGCAGCAGCAGGAGAAGAAGCAGCAGCAGCAGCAGCAGCAGCACCGCCAGCCACCCTCGTCCTCTCTTGGTGGTGGTACAAGATTATTGTGCAGGAAGTTAACCAGGAGTCTCCACCTTTCTTGGACTTGCCTCCGCGGGTTACCGCTGGCTGCCTGCTGCCAACAAAATACTAAATAGCAGGAAACTTCGCGATGCTTCAGGCCGGACAGTCCCGCGAGAGGAATGTTTAATGGAATGTTGATCCCCCCCTCACCCCCCCCCTCCCTCTTCCTTTATTATTGGCCCACTCAGCAAGTACAGTAACTACTGTGCGCAGTGTGCGTGTGTACAGTGCGTACAGTGTGCGTGTGTGTGTGTGTGTGTGTGTGAGTGTGTGTAAGAGAGAGAGAGAGGGAGAGAGATACCTAATTACTTAATTCACTTCAGCCCTACCTAAATATTGTGAGGTTCCAGGGATTTTATGGACATATGAATTAAATAACCGTATTTAAAATGTACAAAATAAATACTATTACTACTTATAATAACTGCTATTGTTTGAATACTGTATATAATAGGGTAATAAACATAAAGTCAGGGTTTTTAACATAACAAAAAATAATCGATAAAGATGTGTTTAAAGGCAGAAACCAATGTTGACAACAAATGGAAAAACAATTAGTGCAGAATGTATGTGAAACAGACACAGGTGTTAGGCCAACCTGAGTGATGGTATGGTGGGTTATATGTTGTAGGGCAGTGAGAACGTGGTTTTTAAGGGTGGCTTTGATAGTTTCCTGTAAGAAAAAAAAAATTTCCACTGCCACAACTCTGAATGAAATAAAGAAAAAAGTAAAAGAAAAAAGAGATTAAAGAAATGACATTAAAAAGCCACCCAATATATCACCCACTGACAGTTTATTAGAAACACCAAAGTAAAACTGATGCAGGACAATGGAACACCTGCCTGTATAACCTGTATATTGCAGGATAAACTGCCACCTGAGTGTATGCATTACAATACCTTTGACAACACAGGTGAACTGTAAAAAGTCCAGTCGTGCAACTCAGCACTGCAGCCGTGATGTGTGAATGATACATGTGTATATAGTATAAGTACATTCTGTAGCCAATCACCAGACTAAAAAGAAAGTAGGGTGCATGAAGCTGTTGTATAGTGTAATGAGGATGCAAGTAAAGGTAGGTGTTAGTTCTTGTGGTGGTGTGGTGGTCAGGGTGAGAATCAGCCGCCACAACTGTAAAGCAGTTTATTTTAACTATGTGATGAAAGGGTAAGCGCACAAGACAAACCAAAACCCATCTTCTATTTTTTTTATTTTATTTAAGTTCCTATGTTTTCTTTTCAAATGATTCCTCAATATTTCTAATATTTCTTATTTAAATCTTATTTGACGCACTGAGTTTAGGACAAGTCAGAAATAGTTGGCATGAAAAGGGACAATAGGTTCCTTCCTGTTGGCTGATTGACAGCAAGCAACATGGGAAATATTCACACCACACCCCAAACAACGTGGCCGCAGGGAAGGAAATGAAGTGAAACCTGTTGAACATATGTTTCTGCTATAGTCTAAACTATGTATTGTAAATGCAAAGGAAAGCATCTTCATTTCAAATTGATCAGATTAATGAAATTACCTTCAAATAAAGTATGTATGACATTTTTATTAACTTTCTGGTGATAAATTGACATGTACATTTGTAATGTAAATCTTTAAGACAAAAAAGGTTGGACCTCGTACTCAAATGCTTCCTACTATTCCATTCGAAAGCGAGCTATTGCCCAACAGTTGTGGCTGCAGTTGGCACACTGCCCCGCTGTCAATTACACCAGAGAATGAACTGTTAAAAAAGGAAGTAGTTGAGGGCAAACTCATCCTGACAGACGCCGCTGAAGCAACATGTCAACAACCTTTCAAAGGGCAAGGTAAACACAAAATCTATGCAAATGTGTTTGACCGCTACCACACAAACACACACACACAAACACACACACACACACACACACACACACACACACACAAACAGAGAGAGAGAGAGAGACAGAGTCGCACAGAGTGAGGTTCAGTGTCGGTCAGTATGAATCATACACATTGGGAAACTGGCTGTCCAAGTGGATTATGGAAACCACAGCTGTTTTCATTCGCTCTCATTAATGCAAACACCAGGGATTTCAGTTTTGGTGACACATATTCATGTCGAAAGCACATTGCCTTTATTTTATTATTAAATCCTTTCTCTCCACAGGTAGTGTCATTTGAGTGTTAGGGTCAGGATCTCCTTTTTCAAGCCGTATAAAAATAGACATACACAGTTTATACATAGACAGATACACATAAATTCACAGGGATTAAAATGGACACAAACAGATAATTCAAGACATTCATTCATACATTTTCACATTAAAAAAAAGGCATGTGCAGGTGTGATTGTAAATACATAAGAACAACCTTTTCAAATGTTCCACTGAAATAAGAGAAGATAACTTCATATTTTTTTGGAGCTCATTCTACTTTATTATATTTTGAAAATTGAAGATAACATAAAAGGTTTAGATTACTAGCTGCTGGGGGTTTGTGGAAATAGCTCTGGGATGTGGTTGTATATAGAAAATAAGTTTTCAACTGGTACCTTTCCAATTAATTCATTTCAATGAACTGTTAGGCAACCCAGTGAGTCCTTTACTCGGAGCACAGCAGTCAGCCACACATGAAAAAATTGAATTTTTCTACGGGCGAATAAAATTCAACATACTACAAGTACAGTTCATACAGCACATGAATAATAAGAAGCACTTTATGTTCTGTTTCTATAGGAAAATATAGAATATAAAAATTCTCTTAACCACATAAAATTTAATTCATTATTAGTGGAAACTTTATTCTGAGACATTTCCTAAAAATAAGTCTTTAATGAGACACTGTTTAACTGATGTGTTTCCAATTAATTAATTCCAACTGAATCCATATAGTTCAACATACATAGAGTCAAGTTACAAATGATCCATTGTAATGACTGATTGTTTGGTTTCATATGGAGCAAGAGCTCTTTTTCTTTCGGCCTACAATTCGACCAAACTACTTAGCGCTCCCTGGAAACTCAGCCTGACGTTTCTCTATGTGGCTCATCAGCAAATGTTTCCATGTCAGAAGCTGCCATCAAAGATACGCTGACAAAGAGCACTTCACAGGAACACTGAAGCTGCTCAGTGTCAAACAGTGACAGGCTGCAGTGTGGTGCGCAGCTGGCAGGTATTTCAGGTGTTGGTAACTCCGGTGATAACGGGACATTTGAATGTGAGATTTGCACAAAACTGTCCCGTGACTGCCTTAAAAAACAAAGACAAATCAGATGAAAATACCGGGAGCTGGTCCCAGTCTGAAGCCTTCCTGCAGACAAACATCTACACTGGACAGTAACTGGATAAAAACAAAGACTGACACTCATAAATTTACGTTGTGCAGGAAACGTATTGACTCTAAGCCCCTCCAGCCCTGTTCAATTGCATCATCTGCTGTAACTGTGCTTACAAATTAAACACCTGTTGCTCAGTGTGACTTGGCTTCACTGTGTAATCCAGAGCCACCTGGTGGGTGACATCTGAAACTGCTCATATTTCAGCCTGCACTTTATACTGTTAAACAGCAGACAGTATACAGAGCTGTGTGTGCATGACTTGGGGACTTGACTGAGGTCAGTACACACAGCTCCCTCCAGAGGTCACACTGAGAAGCTGCTGTGTGATACCAGTTGTTTTAATTGGACAAGTTTATTTTATTTAATTGATAACTAACCAATCTGGCTGGTTTGTAATTACACTGCTGGGTAACTATTGGACCAATTTATTGTGTTAATTTAACCCAGCAAGATGTGTTAAAAGTTCAATCAAAATGCTGGGTCATTTTTAGGACAATGCTGGGTTAATTCTACCACATAAACTAGTTGATTGATTGACTAGCATGTTCCTCACCTAGCATATATGCTTTACACAGTCGAAATACAGTTTTCTTTGCATTAACAGTGTAAAAACTTTAATAAAAAAAAAACATTTTCCCTCTCTATTTTGCGTGACGGGGAGGTTGGGTTGAGCTCGACGATCCACATGTAACATGAAAAAGCAACAAATAAACAATATTAAAGAAGGTCAGAACTTGCCTGCTTTTGTTCCTGGCGGCTCCAAAGCCTCGAATGTCACTTCCTCTTTGTGATGTGGAAATGTTCTAAGGAAAAATGGCTAAAAATAGTATGTTAGTCTTTATAAATAGTATTTTCTCATGTAACATCACAGCAAGAGTACTTGACTTAATGGTTTTAAGATTTAGAAACACACTTTTGCACATTCTTGTGCTTTATGCATCTCATCAAACGTCGCGGACCCAAATGGTTCCTGTCTCACAGAATGACTCAGCTTTCGTCTATATGGGGATGTAGTGGTACAGCTTTATTGCAGATCAACTTCTGTTAGTGCATGTACATGTATGCGTATACACGTCTTGCTGTGGTTGTGGGGACACAGTTGGGTTTGAAACCATCAGTGTGAGGTTATTGTGGCCAGTCGTCACAGCTTCAAAAGGCTTTTAGAGGGACACCTGCAGTGACCGAGGTCAGTGTCAGGATGAGTCTCTACGACATGAATGAAACTGAAGGTAACGTCCTTTGTGCAGATGGAAACGTGAGGAGTGAAGTACACGCACCGAGCAGCAGGCACATTCAAAATTTCTCCAGGAATTTACTAGTTATTTATTAGTATCTTGAACTTCACACACAGCTGCTGTTGGACTTCAACCTTCACTTCCTGCCGCAGTTCATGGATTTTAGCTGCAGCTTATGAATTTTGAACATTCCTCTGGATTCTGTGTCACTTGCAGCTGGACTTCCTGTTTGCTGGTTCACTCTTTCCTTTCCCGTGTCCATGAGACAAAGCTTGGTTGTCCAAATCCAAAATGCAAAATGTTATCTTTATATCATTTTTCTTCTGTTATTTGAAGTATGTGGTGGAACTGTTTTATTTATTTTTTTATGTATCATTTTATTTATTGATTAATTCAATCATAATAGGATAAGATGAATGAAAGTGATGACATTTTATTTCCAAAAGGTCAAAGGTCAACTTCACTGCGACATCGTAATGTTCTGCAAAAACGCAATGCTGTAACTCAGGGGGGAGAGATTGTGACCATATTTCCTGCAGCTTGACTGGTTGGATTCTAGTTCTAGTTAATTTGTTGTTAAACTGAAGCAGTTGCTGGTTTTATTTTAAGCTTTGTGTTTTTGCTACTTACTGAAATTCCACACTGAGATGAAAGACATCCTGGTTCATAATGTTAATGTTGAACCAAGATTAATTTTACAACAGTTGAATATAATCCTATCTCAGACAGATCTGTGGCGATTTATTTATAACATTAGCATTGCTCAGCAGCAGAGCCAGTTCATTTGTCAGCATCATGCTTCTCCTCACTGTTTTCATTTGCTCTCCTCCCACTTTCACCTTCATCTTGTGATTTGTTCTCCTTTGTCCTTCTATCTTCTCCTTCTTTATTTTCTCCATCGTCCTGCTCTCTCTTCTTTCCACCATCCTCCCCTCTTCCTCCTTCTCCTTCTCCTCCTCCTCCTCCTCCTCCTCCTCCTCCTCGCTGTCATCCTCTCCCTTGACTTCAGCCCAGTTCAAGCGGAGGCTCAGCCAAAGCGAAGTGGAGGAGGAGTGTGGCCTCACAGATCCATAAATCCAGCCCTGTAATCAGCGTGTACCGGCCATAATGAGCAGGAGATAGTGAAAATATGTTGATTATCTCCCAACATGAGGGGATGAGGGGGCAGACACTTTGGATACATGCTTTCTTGAAGCTCTTCCAGTGGCATAAATAGCTGTCTTTACATGGGAGCATGGGCGAAAACACACACACACTCTCTCTCTCTGAAGGCGGCCGTATGGTCTCCAGATAGAGATATTCCCACAGGAGTCCTGCAACAGATGCTCTGGCCCCCGCAGGGCCCTGATCTCTACATCATGGAGTCAGTCTGGGATTACATGAAGAGACAGAAGACACTGAGACACAAGTGGATCTGCTGAGTGTAGATGGGGGGAGGGAGTTGAAGTGGAAGTCCTAAAAGATATCAGTTCTGCGTAGAAACTGGATTTTGTCTCTACACTATCCTGTGCCTACGCCTTCACATGCACAGCTGAGCCGTGAGTCCGGTCCTGCTTCTCCTTCGATCTCTGTCTCTCTTGTAGTTGCTTTACCAAAACATCTGGCCCCTCCTTGTCCTTCTGTAACCTCCGCCTTAGTAGTCAAGACTCCGGCAGCTCCAAATTTGTCATCACCACTACACTGGAAATCGGGAGCTCCACCCCCCCACCCACCCCAACGACCCTCCACCCACTCCACAGCTGATTTATAGAGCTAGCCTTGAACGCAGGGCTGTTGCTTGTGGAGCAGAGCCCATTTTGTTCAAGGACGAGAGGATTTCAGTGAGTCTGGTCTCTCATCTATAGTAGGCTTCTCTTATCCACTCTGCATGATCATCAGCGTGATTTACTGGACTGGAGCTTCAGCACTGAGCTCTTATTTTGGGAATTACAGTGTAATCATACAGCTTTTCACGATACGTAGTGAATTACGAGTTAAGATACAGGAACAACAAATATTGTGAAACAAAGAGGACACTGGGAACTGTCAGTTCTTTATCGCAAAATGTCTATTCAAACTGTGCTAATGTTTGGCTTGAAGGTTTTTTTCAAAAAGCCAAAGTAAAAAAGTCCCGTATCACAGGAGGAAATGCCCAAACACTGACAAAATTAACTGCAGGATGCTTCTAAGGAATCAAAATGACTCAATCAACTGTTCAAAAAGCAGAATACAGTTTAGAGATATGAGGATTTGGACATTGAGCTTATATTTAATTATTTCTCAGTTGACAAAGCTTTGATGTGCTGTGCAACATCTGGGCTCTATGGCATCTGTAATGTCAGCTAAAGTCATTATGGAATTTAATCTCACTTTTTGTTGTTTATATAAATCCATATCTGAATGTATATTTAAATCACTATTAATATTTCTTTTTGTGAGGCTATTTATTATTCTCTGTACTCGGGTCTCTCTTGTGTATGAGATCTCGATCTCAATGCGACTTCCTGATTTGAATAAAATGTCAATAAAAAAAATAACACAAAATTTGAATCTGAATTTCACTTGTTGTAAATGCTCAGAGTGAAAAGGCGGCTCCACTCGGCCCTGGTGTGTTACATCATCAAGTCATCGTCAGTCAAATGTTTTCATTAATTTCTCAGGTTTTGATTATTTAATACACTGATTGTGAGATCTTTGTTTTACATCTGTAAAACTGACATTTGGTTCAACTTTGTGCACGTACGAATAATTAGTGTTTTGTCGGCAGTAACGTAAGAATTCAGTGTTTACAATTGTGTGGTGTTCTGTGTGGTGTTCTGTGTGCTTGTGTTTGTGCGTGGAGCTCACCCCCCCCCCGTACTTACCTGAGTAGGTGGTATGTTCCAGTCAGGTGAAGAGGAGATGGTAAAATGTAAAAGTTTTTGTCCTTTCTATAGAGTCATGCCCCATCCCCCATGTAGTAGGATCAGGCGCTGTTGTCCGGCTCTGCTCTGATTGGTTCTACCTGAGGGCAGTTTGACTCTCAGTCATGTAGATCACAGTCACCTGCGTGACGAGGTGAAGCCTGTTCTGCTTTGTGACGGTGATTTGACAGAACCTGACGAAGATCCCTGTTGATGGAAACATTGCTTTATTAAAAGTGCTGGGAGCTGAGGGTCAAATACGATCCTGTGCCTTTTATACTTCACTCAAAGATGCTCTCATTCATTTAGACCTCCTGCCCAAAAAACAATCAAAAGGTTATTTTTTCTTATGCAAGGTCACAATACTGTAAACTGTTCTTACCATCAGTCCCCATAGAAATACTGCAGAACAAATAAAGCAACTCTTATGTGGTTAAAGCTGCAGCAACAGTCACCTGCTGATACATATGTTTGATGATTATAGATTATTGTTACATCTGACTTTTGTTTGTTTTATATTAATTGATCACAATGAGAAAATCTGGACTATATCATCTGAACAAAATCATTATTTTTATCAATTCTTCCATGACTGAAATTGGGAGGTTTAGCTCCACCCACTGAGGTCCACTGCAACCAATGGGGTTATTTCTGCCTCTAAAGTGTTGTTTGCCCCACACAACACACACATGCTGTTATTGCAGGTGGTGTTTTACTTAAAAAAAAAAACTAAAGAACTCGGGAAGAACAAGAGAAGTGGTCATTACTGCAGGCTGCCATGTTCCCACAACAATCCCTCCCTCACTGCTAATCTGTCTGCCCCCTCGCCACTCCACCCCCCACCCCCACTCAACACACACACACACACTATATATATATAAAATATATAAAGAAGGAGAACCTAACAAAGATAGATTTTATTTTTCTTTAAAGAGCACACAGGTGATTGAACTCTTCCATAAAGTGAAAGTAAAATAAAATCAAAACACTGCATAAACCTTTAAATCAAGATAATAGGTTACACACTGTTCCTCCATGTAGTGATTTGTGGCATAATTAGTCAAGTGAAGCAGCCTTTTCATTTCCTTGTGTTAAATCCGGCCCTGACAACCTGCTGTCTAATGCTCAGATAATGATGCATACTGTATGTCTTCCTCTTTTATTTGAGGGCAATGGAAAACCATGACTTTTTTTTTTTACAAGCTTTTTTTTTTTTTTCCTGTGCACGTACATGCAGATACACGTAACAAATCAAAACTTGAACGTTTATATTCATCAGGATGTTGAATTAAGGAATTAAATGAAATAACTACAAGGAAAATCAGCTTTCATAATTTATTGTCTTTTCCAACGGTCGGAGATAAAAAAAAAATGGCTACTGTCCTTGTAGCCGTACATTTGAGCCCTGTCCTTCATACTTAGATAAACCAAAAACTGCAAGACTGTATTCAGTGAATGTATTTGGGAAAACTGGCTTTGATGTGTCCTTTGCCATGAATAGTAGCTACAGGGCTAGTTATGATAGAAGATAAAAAAAAAAAAAAAAAAAAAAAAAAAAAAAAAAAAAAACACAGTGAAAGTCACATGCTCTATCATCACTCTTTATCTGCTTCCAAGGAGGGTGACAGAGGGTGTGCCCCATCCCGTCCAGGTGGGGGCATCTGATTGGCAGAGACTCCTGATAGCAGCTCTCCCACGCTGCCGCAGTACAGCAGGGAACGCATGGGCCACTTCTGAGGAGACGGCACAACAAGTCAAAAACCATCTGGGTGAATGTAAAAGTCTTAAGTTCTTCACATTATGTTACCAGACATTTCATTACAATGATACGATCAGACAAATATGTAATACACTTCTGCCGCTAAATCTGTGGTCATGAGGTATTTTGGCTTTCATCTTGCTGTCAGGGAACTAATAACTCTTTTGTTGGGGAACAGCTTATTTAGAGAAACTTTAAGCAGCTGTGACCTTAAGATTTAATCTTCCGTATTGATTTGGATGGGATAAGCAGTGAAAATAGCACAAAAACATGATTAGATTATCTCTTCTGATTGAGCCACTTTGAATGTTACCTTATACTGAAAACTTTGTCATTGAACCGGGACATGCCATTAAACCTCCTTTGTGTGTGTACTACAGTTAATAATGTAATAACTAACAGAGCAGAACTTTATAAAACGTCCCACTGAACAGAGTAACATGAAATGCTGGACAACATGACATTACATTAACCACGACTGTTAAAGCAGCTCAAGCTAATTAGCCAAAAACAGCTAGTTATCTGAAGGTCATAATGGTGGTTTTATAACTAGCTAAAATAACTAGCTGTCTAGATGTAATATTGGCGGTTTTGTGTACTTATAACTAGTTTAAACCAGCTAGTTATCTGAATGTCATGATGTTGGTTTTATTTACTTATAAATAGCTAAGAATACTTCCTACATATAGCTAGCTAGCTAACTTTTAACTTCAGTAGTCAAAACACAACATTATATATATTTTTTTAACATCAGTGTACGTCTTTCAGTGTCTTTGCTCTTGACCACCTGACAAATATGTTGTTTTAAAATTTATTTCAGCTTCTGGCGGGGCCCCCTGAGGGACGCAGGCCATGTAATGTACATCAGTAACAGCCAGTGTAAAGTACTATGATTAGCAAGAGGCTATTGGTTCCCAGCCTCACCTTAACGGGATGGAGGTATCCACCCGGCCTGGACGACAAGGTGTGCTCAGCCACAATCCCTCCCTGATCCAGGGTCTCTGTTAAGTAGGCGATGTAGTTGGTAGCCAGAACCAGAACATCCAGCTTGGATAACTTGGTGTCGGGTGGGACTGAGGGCAGAGCGGCCTGTGGGGAGAGGAGGAGGGTGGAGGCTGGATCAGTTCTACTTCAGCTCTGAATTTGTTAGTATTAAATTCAAATGTTTGGGTAAAGGTAGAACTGTACTTTTTTTTTTTTTGGAAATGCAAGTAGAGAGGCTTTTTTACTTTTTGTATTTCATTGAAAGCATGAAAAGACAAGGTCAACTTTTTCAAATAAACTCATCAAACAGAAAACATAAATATCCAGTCAGTGAGAGCATGAGAACCACAACAGCTTGTGTTCATAGTTAACTCGCTGAGCCGGTGGGGAGTGAAACGTTTGTCTGTGTCTGGTGTACCTGCAGACTGTGGAAGGCCTGTCGCAGGTTGCGTACACGGCTCCTCTCTCGTGCCGCATTTTCCGGCGAGTGCTGATTCCTCAGCGACCTGGGCTGGACCGAAGACCCACAACTGGAACCAGAGTTTGGCCTGGACCCACACATAGACTGTACCTGCAGCAGAGAACGTGTTTAGAGCCGGACATGTCTGCACAAACAGGACATGAACATAAAACAAGATCTTATTCAAAACCTGTCTTTTGAAGATTTATATTGAGTCTGGAGAGAAATCTAGTATGCATTAGGTGAACAATCATTTTTGCACAACACCAATATGAAAAACTTTGACAGAATACTCTGTTTATTAATTAATTCTTCCTGCAGTGCATATTACATACATACAGTTAATTGCTGAAAGGTACAAAGGTACAGGTGAAAATCAACATTTGTCTGCCCCAAGATCATCAGTTATCATTTAAGCCCTCTTCCATTATCATTACTGTCATTTACACATAGGACATTTACAAGTACCACGTACACATTCAGCAGAAGGCTGTCCACTAATGATCATGGCACTAAGAGAAGCTTTTTGAAATTATGTCAAGAGTTATGAAGAAAACTGATAACTTGTGCTTGAAGCTACTGGACGCTTTAGTGCTTGGAAAAGATTTATGCTCTGTGCGATTACTAGAGAATAAACTGACAGACCCTTCTTATATAGGATGTGATTTGTAAAAAAAATATATGCTGATTCTTTAGAGTATGGTTTAAAAAAAATAAATAAATAAAAAAGAGTGTTTAACCAAGCCAGCACTGCTCAGGACAGCCTCTAAATATACTCGTACCAGAAAACAGGCAACAATAAGGACACAAGCATCATCCACATGCCTTCTTCATGACTAGAACTTGTCTGGATGGGTTCTTTTAATGCTTCCATCCAATACTTTACTTGTTGTCTGTTGTTTGTTGTAAGTTGTTCTCTGATACAGAAGCCTGATTCACTATATTTCTGCTAATGGAAGATTTATGAGATTATATTTGTGAACAAAACAAACGTGAAGCAGTTTGTTTCTATGCCATTTTTCCTGTTATACCCTGGTATGTTCACAGTGCGATGAAGGTTGTGCAACATCGCACTGGTTCTTCCGAACTATTAATTGCTGTAGCAGTAGCAGATCTGTCTTTGAAACCAGGATTGTGCTTCAGTTTTAGCTGTGAAAACCGTATGCTGCATCATATTTAATTTTACATTCTCTTTATACACAACTGTAACTACCGTACATAATTATTGCCTGTTTGTTAGTGTGATTAAGGTGTATCCTCGGATGGCTTTAAATCGGACTGTTAACGCAGACTTACCCACTTCCTGGGCTCCCGGCTGCTGTGCAGGCTCTGCTTATGTCGGTGCAGGGATGCTGGGTTGCCGGCTGCACCAGGCTGCTGGCTCCGTGGCTCCGTGGTGGAGCTGGAGTCCAGCTGGTGGTTCGCTGCAACCGTCATCAGACCTTCCAGAGGATTAACCGCCATGGATGCTACCGAAGTGGCCCAGCAGACCCTCCTCAAGACTCACTTTTGTTCAGTCTGCTTCTATTGGCTGATTGAGAGTTTGCTTTCCCGTATTCAAGATTGTCGTCAAACTATCATCTATTAAGTCCTTTGGTAAACACACTACAGAACACAGTTTGAGGTCATCTTTCCATCTAGTCTGAAAGCATCTTTTAAATCTTAGTAAGATTTTAAAAAACTGGCTAAACAACAGCTGAGATTACTCATCTACTCTCAAGAAAAGCAAAACAATCTGTTCTGTGATCATTTTTTATGCCGCATCTAAAGTCTCTACAAAGTCCACCAGACCTCTGTGGCGACCCGGTTCCACTCAGACCCTCAAACAACTGGTGAAAGCGCCATAGTCACTGTCTGGTTCCCTAAGCATCACCGTCCATCCAGAGAATTCCTCTTAGTCTGACCCTCTCGCTCTCCCTCTCTGTGTCTCTCTGCTTGTTTCCTTATCGGGTGAGGTAATGTGGGGAACTTCATATGGTCCTTATCTCGGCAGCCCGGTCGTCCTGATCCTCCCCTGGCTGTTTGACTGCCAAGAAGAGCAGGCAGGCAGGCAGTCAGGCCTGGGGGAGTGAAGCAGTGGGAGGGTGTACCGAGCCAGGGCACTGGGGGGCTTGGGAAACTCAAAACTCTGCTAAAAGCTGGACTGGGGTGGAATTGGAGGCCCGGGACAGTGCGACATTGAAAATTAACAAAGATAGGCAGAAATGCTTTTAGGTTTGGTTGGAAACGTTTGTGGCATCTTAGCTCTGTTGGACTTCTACTGCATCTTAGGCAATGAACCTGATTTTGTGACTGACTACACACCAGCAGCGTTCTGGGCAAATGCAGTCCAACTCCAGAGGGTATTACAGCAAGCTAACCACATCTGCCCAGAATTTCCCATCCCAGCAGAGGCTCAGCTCGCCTCAAGTTTAATGAGAATATAAGCTAGTGGATATAATTCACTCTGTATTTTACTGTATTTTATGTATGTGCTTCTCTGGCTGTGAAATTCACAGCTGTCTCTTTAAGTGTCCATCATCTTATGATGAATTAAAGTTGTCAGTGCTTCTGTTTCTGTGGTTTAAATGTGTACTTATCTTGATTGTTAAAATCCGGCTTGAATCTTCGATGATTTTGTTTATTAACTTTAACCAGAATCAGTTTTTTAAGGATAACTGAAGTCAGGCTTTTCACAATAAGGTCTGGCTTTCTGAGCTTCCTTTATAGAATAAAAAAGGAAAAACAATAACATAATGACACACAATACATGAGACTTGCCTTTACCATTGGAGCTATGTGGATGCCCCAGAAGCTGTTTCAAATGACAGATAGACAGTGCACTGCTCAGTATTCAGTACTCAGCTTTATCTGGTCAAAAATAAAACGTCATGATCAGAGATACAACATGTCATTCTGCTCATCTTGAAATGGTAGCAGACACTGCAATTCATTTTAAATGACAAAGTCTAAAAAGGGAAAGGTCTGATTTTAACATAACTGTGAATGGAAATACTATTGAAGAAGTTGGAAAAGAAAAACATCTCTAATGAGTTAATTTCCAATCATTTACATAGTATGTATATTCTGAATACAGATAATCTGAAAATATATTTTCACTCTTCTTAATATATCAAAGCAGTGAATATAAAAAACCTTTAGAAGAAGCTTCTAGTCTTGAGGTTGAAGTTTAGCAAATCATAGTCAATCAATGAGACATGCATGTTACAAACACTAGCAAATTAAATTTAAAAAATCAAGCATAATTTGAAGGTTTGAGGCAAATCATGTAGCATCATGGTTGTGGCTTTAGTAAAGTAAATGTTTTATGTTAGTAGTTAGAGGAATGCTGTCAACACTACAACACCAAGTGCCCCCTGACCTCCCATCTGCAGCTGCTTAGCAAACTGTTCTCAAGACTACAAGGCTTGTTGTGAGTCAGAGACACTGACGCTGGTGTCCAGTTCCTGACTTTAAACTACACTGACACATGAAGCTATGGATTTGTTAGATACTAATGAAGCACGGCAGCTCTTAACTCTTTTGACCTGGTAACACATTAAAAGTGTCTTGTCACTGCTCACCACACTTCTCTGCTGATCGGCACTTTCATTCTCTACTTTTAGTTCATTCACCTGTTCATCAGTTCACTGTCAACTACTGCTTTTTCTTCTCCACTGTCTTGGTGAACTTCTGGATGTCCTCGGCCATCAGCTGGGGCTCTTCCATGGCAGCAAAATGGCCGCCGCGGACCATGGGAGTGTAGGTGACGAGTTTACGGTATTTCTGTGTGACCCACAGTTTGGGCGTGTGCATCAGCTCGTTGGGGAAGCACGCGAACCCGGTGGGAACATAAACCGGGATCCTGGGAAGAGATGATGATGGGTTAACATCAGTTTTAAAGAGAGGGGGTTGTGGAGAACAAGAACTATCTAGAATTTTAGTATTAGAGATGTTAATACATAATTTAGATAAATTACTTCATACAGTTTCTACATTTGTTCTTTAAGCACCACGAACGATCCAACATGCCACGTGCAGCAACAGTGCTGTGGACCAGTCTACAGCAAGTGCACAGGAAGGCTGTTGTAGAAGTAGAAACCAGGAGCAGCTGAATGCGACTGTTCTTTGACACTTCCAGTTTGTGCATGTTGCCATTTTACAGCATGCATGCTGGGTTCTACTTGCTTTTATGTTCGTCTGTTTTGTTAATTAAGCTGGTTATCTGATTATCCGTGTGTTTTGAAAGGGAGCAGAAAAGGAAGTGAGAATAACACTGTTTTTGTTTTGTATCTCTCAGTGTAACCTGTTGGTCACATTAAACTCTTTGGTTGGCACTCACTTAGAGTGGGGCTGGTCCAGGCCTTTGCCAAAGTTTTCCTTGTAGAACCTCATGGATGAGATGATGCATCCAGACACCCAGTAGATCATAACATTAGTCAGCAGGTCGTCCAGAGAGAACTTCCTACAACACAAAGCACAAACAACAACTAATATTATAATAATGACTGCTAATACATATGCTACTGCTACTAATGATATTTAGAGCACATATCAGCACTGACTCCCTTCTGTTCTGTTCCGCTGTCTTTACCTGGTGAGTCCTCCATCCTCCAGGTTCCTGAAGTCACGGTCCGTCCATGTGGAGAACTTCTCCAGGATGTAGGCAGCCAGACCCACTGGAGAGTCATTCAGTCCTCGACCTGAGGGGAAACACAGGGGCGCAAATTATTTGATCATGGATTTGTTGATCAATGAAATTTCACAATTTGTAAATTTGTTGTGACTGTAAATCGGTGAGTTTAAAGGGGCAGTTCACCCATATCAAAAAAATATTGACGTGCTGACCATTTAAGATTCTATTAATCCTTTTAAGCCCTGCTAAAGCCAGTTTAGGAGACTACAAGCATTTTTCTTACAGCAGTGTTAACTGAGAAAGTGCACTCACACAGACACAAAGTTCTCTAGGATGTCCAGTCGATGTTTATGTTTTGCTCATGCCTACTTGCCTAAAGTACCAATAAAAAGCTTCAGCTGTGGTGATGCTGCTTAAAACTTTTTTTTGCCAGTTTCCATTTGTTTTTTTTTTCCAACAAAATAATCTCACATTGTAAATTGCAGTTTACAGCATGTTGTGACTTTGGTGAAATGGGCTCCACATCCTTACCCACAGTGTCAGGCTTGGTGGCCTGAATGTGCATGTAGCCGGACTCTTTGATGGACTCCACCACCAGTTTTTCCATGCAAGGGTAGAGACGCTGAATATCCACGTCAGTGAAGCCGAAGAGCTTAGGGAAGCGACGGCCAAGCAGGATGGATAAAGTCATGGGCAGACCGGGCTTAGAGGGTGGGGCAAAGTTCACATGCAAGCCTTTGACTGACCTGGGGTATGGAAAAAAATGAAAACAAAGGCAAAACAGGAGGGAATGTAGTGTTACCTCATTTAAGCATTTACAAAAACAGTGCACAGAAATACATAAATATATATATTTCAACAAAGGTCTGGTGTCTCCAGGAAAAGTGGTTGTGCTCTGCAGGATTGATGCCAGCACACTTCATTCATACAATATGGAGTAATGTGAAAGTGTTAAGTATAATTATTATTTCCAGGTGTTGAGATAGTTCTTGTGTACATTACTTGGGTTCCAGCTGAGCCATGTTGGTGGTGACCAGCCATCCCCAGTCTCCTCCGTGAGCGTAGAACTGCTGGAAGCCCAGACGCTTCATAAGTTTGTGGAAGATGTTTGCCGCACAAACCGAATCAAAGCCTGTGCATACACACACGCACGCACGCACGCACACACACACACACACACGCACACACACTTAGAAATCGCTGTATGACACTATGCAGTTTCTATGGAAAAGGGGAGGAGTGAAATTTTTTTTTTCATTGTTATTACTAGTTTGTACATTGCCTATATGCATGCACAGTTTATGCCTAGCTATATCTAAATTGATCTAATACAATAGCCCATAACCTACATTTTATACCTATATCTTTTACTTTGCTGAAATTACTTCCTTTATGTGACAGTTGGTTGTTTTACCTCCTGTCTTTGTCCAGGTTCCCTCCACTGGGATAGTCTGCCTCGCCCTAATGGGTCTCACCTGTGTCCAATCATCCCTTCCACCCTTATATATTTAAGTCAGTGTCTTTCCCTCAGTTTGTCTGTTTTTGCTCCTGTTAGTTGCCCCAGTGTTTTCCTCATGTTTCTGTTCATGTTCTGGAGTATTTGCCTTTGGTTTTGGATTTTCTTTTTCTTGCTGCACCAGTTGGGACTTTGCTTCTCCCCTAATATTATAATAATACCTAGTGTTTGTTTCCCTTTGTTGAATAAATCTTCTAAGGTCTTCGTTAAGTCAGTTAATCGTTTATTTAAATAAATCTGTGGTTTGGAGTTGGTGTGGAACTGTTACACTTCTCACCAGTGCTGTTTGCCAGTAGCCTTGCACGAATAAGTAATCTGTTTCTCACACTCCTCATATTTTTATACCTTGTTCCTGAGAGAAATTATATTTGACTCAGCTGTATTTTTATGGTTCAAATGACAAAAAGCACAAAAGCAGTTATTCTTCTTAAAAGGGGATGTCCAACTTCCCATGTCTGCAAGAATAAAAACATTCCCAGACTCACCTTTCTTATTTGGTGCTTCAGAGAAGCCGTACCCTGGTATGGAGGGACACACCACCTCAAACACGAGGTCGTCTGGATCTGATGGTTCTGTCAGCAGAGGGATCAACCCATAGAACTCATAGAAGGAGCCAGGCCAGCCGTGGACCATTATCAGAGGAATAGCAGTAGTTCCATCTGGCACCTTCTTGGGCTTCACATGCAGGTAGTGGATATCAATGCCTGTATGGAAGGTGATTAAGTAATAACAGGTTAGAAATAGGACAATATGTTCTTCAGGAAAATGTCAGCTGTGCAGCCTCACCTTCGATTTTGGTTTTAAAGTGGGGGTACTGGTTGAGTTTGTCAACTTGTCTCCCCCAATCAAAGTCATTTCTCCAGTAAGAGACCACCTTCAGCAGATAGTGGGAGTTGAAGCCATAATTAAACTGGCTGTCCTCCAATGAGGCAACAGGACGCGTCTGGTCTATCCGGCTGTACAGGTCCTGAGAGAAAAGAGGGGAGGAAATGTGAGGGCTCCTGCAACCTTTAAGGCTGTTTTAATGGTTAACTACCTCATGAGGGTATCTAACCTTCAGCTCTTCATCACTGGTGGTGACTCTAAATGGTCGAATGGTGACGTCCTCCTCGCCATCAGGAGGTGCTCCAGCCCCCCACCAGCCATCCTCTATCTTCAGAACCTGGTTCCTGCTCCTCTGAACCAGGAAGAAGATAAGTCCTCCGATCACTAGACCAAGCAGCACCTCTGTGAACATGGTGCTCAGCGTCTACACCCGGACAGGGATGGATACAGTGTATTCAGATCCCTTCACTTTCTGCTTGTTGCAGATTTAATTTTAAATACAATCCGAGGTCACGGTGACCTCAATCTTTGACCTTTGACCAGCAAAACCTTATCAGTTCATCCTTGAGTCCAAGTGGCCGTTTGTACCAGATGTAATGAAATTCCCTCCAGTCGTTCTTGATATATCGCGTTCACAAGAATGACACAGGCATCAGGTCACAGTGACCTTAACCTTTGACCTTTGACCACCAAATTCTAATCAGATCACTCTTCAGTCCAAGTGAAAGTTTGCGCCGAGCAAACGTGTAATCTTCCGCCTTTAAATGAGTATATACCAAAGATAGAAAGCAGTTGATAAATGCAGGGAGGACAACAGTTGGTTAAGCATCTTTTGTTGTTTTACAGGCTGAAGAGATTATGTTAGACCACAAAGATTATGTAGGAAAAGCAGTGGATTTGAAATCAAAATTTCTCTTATGGGGATATCCCTTCGATTGGGAGGAACCATTATAAAAGTCAGCTCTAGAGAAATCTCTCTTTGACCTGTTAAACAAGAGCCAGACAAAAGAAAAACAATTTTCAGCTATGTGTAAAACCACCTACTGTCCTCAGAGTCATCTGTAAGGTCACCAGCACCTTGACCTTGAGCTATCCCAAATTTCCAATGACCCACCTGTGTTTTTATATAAATAGCAAGTAATTTAAAAGAACATCAAGTTCATGCAAATTTTTCCCATAAGAAAACAGGAATTCCTGATGCTCAGTGTCCCACGACACAGGAAAAAAAAAAAGTTTCCTATGCAGATTATCCACCAGCGGCCCACTTTAATGAGATGAAACATGACAATGTCATTTAGGTCAATATTAAATAGATAAATATATACAGAAATAAATCAATATGCCTAAACTGTTTATCCTGCCTCCCTTCATGAAGAAGGGAAGCATGATAGGTCTACGGGTCTTGTGCACTATTTTATCCCAAGGCTTTTCAAGGCTTCTTTAACTATTTAAAAGATGTTACTATAAAAATTCACTGATTAATTGTCAATGCTATTTATTAATGTGATGGTATATCCTTATTAAATTCCATTTGGAGGTAGATATATATTTAACATATGATGACAATGAAAACGATTTTCGACTAATTGAAAACTTATAATAATAATAACAATATTGAGTCATTTTGTATCAGTCTAACCTTTTTAATGCTAATTTTTGACTGGTGAAGCATATGCTTTGAGTAAGAGATCATCATTCAGATCAATCTCTGTAGTCCGCTTCTGATGCAGCCCATACATATGATTAAGGCTGGACAGACTGAAACGTTGTAATAAATATTTCTGCAGTAATCCAGACAGTGTGTGGGAGTTTTTTCACTATTTTCAAGTTGCTCCCTCCTGTCACTCATTCAGGTGTGCAGAGACCTTTTTTCCGAAATAAGCATCTTTTGTTAGAATCCAATACTTTGATTGTCCAAGTAACATAATACTCTATAAACCAGAACTGAAACACATTTACAAGTGAGTAAAAAATACCTGTGTGAATAATAAACAACAGTCTGACACAATGAACACCTATCACTGTGACTCTCTAATGTAATTTGAGTGTAGGTTAGAATGATTTTATAAGTCATGAGTTTAGAGAAAAATGTGGGAGCGGCCAAACAAGGGTGTCACTGTTGTTGTAGTCTGTGAGCAGCTGACAGGACTTAGTAAAAAAAAAAAATAGGCTGACCAGTGACCAAGCCCCTCAGCCTCAGCTCCTGAGACCTGCACGACAAAGCTTTACCTATTCAGGAGAGCTCCAAGCAACCCAAACTCCATTTCTATGTGGTTACAAACCTATACCTGAACATTTTATATAGAGACATCACAGCTCAAACTGACAGCCATTATTAGACAAGTGAGTCTGGACACTGGTACTCTGCATGCTCATACAGTCATGGAGGGAGGATGTCGCCTAACTCCCACTGCGCGTGGAGTTCAACGACCTGTCAACGGCCCCATGCACACAAACACAATACAGAGCTGCTTTCTAGAATAGACTGGGGGGGGGGGGGTACCTGATAAACAAGCCTGTGTGCTACAGACTGGTTTGAACTTCTAGTACCAAAAAACAGCCGTTAACCGTTACTCGTTTTACTCTGTACGTTGCTAGCTAACGTGAACCATAGCTACAGCAATAAGTTAACATACCTGACCCCCATTATGACAGTGGTGGGGGGGGGGCATCAACAAACCATGCGACCCCCCCGACATACCAACAGTTAGTACAGAAACAGAGGTATTTGCCACCTGATAAACAAGCCTGTGTGCTACAGACTGGTTTGAACTTATACCAATAACAGTCGTTAACCGTTTCTCATTTTACTATGTACGTTGTTAGCTAACGTGAACCATAGCTAAAGCAAAATGTTAACATGTTATCAAGCACGACAATTATTTACGTCGACGAAGTGCAAATATTTTCCCACACATTATCTGTTGAAGTTACGTAAATGTGTCGAGCCATTCAAAGCTAAAGTCGTTGTTTAGTGTGGATGCGTATAAACAAAATATCTTCACTTTTAACTTGGTCAAAACAAGCGATTCTGCTCAGAAAGTCTCGGCCCCAACTCTATCCTCATAATCCTGACCAGTTAGCCTGATATCTGCCGTTCGATAGCTCTGTTTCAGATGCATGATACGTGTAATAAGTCAAACGATTCAACAGTCAGTGATATTTTACCAGAACACATCACATGTAACACAAGTTTTCGGTAGTTTTACCTGTTGTCTTACCGCTGCGAGGTGCGGGATCCTGGAACCTGGACACTGCCGCCGCTGCTCTCCTGGGTCCCGTTCGATTACTGAACTGTGCTCCCTTCCCAAGCTCCTAGCTCACTCCATTGTCATATTAATGACAAACTGACAAATTTAACTTATGAATTTAGCTGAATAAAAGTACAAGTTTATTGTTCACATCATTACACGTGAAGAGGGCGGGGGTTAGAGGGGATTAAAAAAAAAAAAAACTCTCCTAAGAAATATTGAACTGGATGACAGGAAATGGGATTTGTATGAACAAGCTGAAATTGTGCCTATATATATGATATGTATTGCAGGACTAAAGTTACCGAGAACAGCAAATGTAGTTGAAATTGAATATCCATAATAATAAATAATGTTATATCTGCATCATCACCTGTTAGTATATGTCTCAATTTTTGTTGTTCAGTAATTCATTTTGTGAAGAGAAAATGTTCATATGGTGTAAACTGTAGTTTGTTTTTAATTAATTCGTCTATACTATGCATCTGTTCTTGTACTTTCTGTACCACCTGCTGCCATTTAGGATCAACAAAGTATCTCATTCACACAACAAGGGCAATTTCTTCAATATGCACCAAAGGTAGCAACATTTATCAGGAAAAAAAGAAAAATCAGCGAATCAGAGAATTTCATTTTAAAATGAACTAACATGTAACCACTAAACTTGTAGTTAAATTTTCTTTCCTCACGTGGCCACTTCTGATTGTCTCACATAATACAATACACTTCACCACAAGATGAATACAGGAGAGATACCAGCTGTACTGGGCTAAATAAACATTTATTGAACATGTAACGCAATTATTCTCAGTATAAGAAATGGCATGTGGAGATGTGGGGGGGAGGGGTGTTGCTCGGTAGAAATTGTAGGTTTCTCCACATCGTTGTTGGGGAATCAGAAGAGCCCTGCTTCATTCATGTGGCACAAGTCCATGAGAAAAAACAAAAATAGCAACATAAATGTAAATCGACGAGACATGCTATGGCTTCAATGCCCCGTCCTTTTCATCCCCTTTAAAAGTGATAAAGAAACCAAGGTGCCAAAGCTGCTTAGACAGCAGCAGGGGATTTGTAATTTTTATACGTTTTGTCCCACATTCCCCCCAACCCCCACTCATTTTCCCATCATTATATTCCCCAAAACTTCCCAGCAGCCTACCTTACTTTATATTAATACCATCAAGATGTGATCAAAATGCCTGACAAGGAAAAACAGGATGATGGGATTTTTAATGACTACGAATGTATCAAAAAAACAAAATCCTGAGAATAAAATATATACAGTATATATATCGCATCTCTGATAGTATTAAATCAGTGTAGGTGGTCAGATCAATCTCACCACACTCCCTCTTTACCACCCCCATTCTCTCAGACTCCACATTGTACTCCCATGGTACTGTGCTCTCAACAATCACCAAGTCCACTGAACTCAGTCCAGGTGCTCTAGAAGGTCAGTGCTTCTAGAGCATTTTAATCCGTCTCCATGGAACCACTGTGCGTCTCCTTGGACACCATGAGTCTCATCAGTTTTCCGTGGAGCTTTTCGATCTTCTTCACGTCTTGGGCCTGGTCTGTCTTGTACTGTAAACACTGAAAAGATGGGAAAAAAAAGAGTAAATGAGGGCACTGAGAACTACCGTTACATTAAACTGGCAAATTGGGGTGGCAATAAATTTTGAGGCATGGATTTATAAGTTACATAAAACATAGTAGTAGTAGTATAAGAGTACTCCGTACTGGCTGATACACAAGCTCAGGTATTGGAATCAGTATCAGGAAGGAAAAAATTGAAAAAAGGACTTGACTTGTCATACAACAGTGATGACATTAATAATGACATTCTATTCAAGACCTCTAATTAGACAGCAGAGGGACAGCACTGGTATGGCCAGGTGAAAGCTAACTGGAGTAAAGACATCGTTATTGTTATTAGTTGCACCTGAGTTTTCCTGTTGTGTCCAAAGTGTGTGCTGTGAAAAACAAGCTTTCTATCCCTGTCTTGATTCAAACCATTTACCATGTAAATCTGTTGATTAACAGAGTGCATAACCTCTTCAGTCTGTCAGAAATCCAGATAGATTGTTGTTAAATTTACTTGCGTACTAACAGGCCACCATCAAGTCAATTTTTTTAATCTGTCCAATTTTTGGGTTTATCTATCAAACTGATTGGATTTGTCTGCAATTAGCAACACAGAAAAGTTAGCATATCTATACTGCAAGACTGATACAATCAGTTGACAAATCAGTCAACAGAAAACTAGTGCTTAACGTTACAACTGAGTAATCTCCACCACAAAACATATTGATTAGCGCCCCACAATTATTAAGTTTTGTTTACGTGTCCATGATACACGTCACTGTAAAGTGGGTACTACCATCCTAACTCAGTTTCCATACACTGTTTGTCAGTGATAAACTGATACCTGAAAAAACTGTTACGGAAAGCGAAAAAATATCTGCTTTTCTGTACATTGACCACAGAAAAATATTAGCAGTTCGCCGATGACATAGTTAGAGGTAATTTTCACAAACACTTTGTGTCATTCGTTGTTAACAGTGCGATTAAAACCTTTCCTTACCACGGCATTGTCGGTCACTTTGATGCATAGATTACCGTCGCAGTGTCTGTACTTGAGAACCACTCTGACCTGTAACACAACAGCAACCAGTGAATTGGAGAATTTTAAGACCAGCAGTTAGCATGGTCACGTCGCTAACGAGCTAACCGGCTAACAAGCTAGCCAGCTAGCGCGTTACCCTACTCATAAAATTAAGCGTTTTCACCTTCATGGGATCTGTCAGATACAGTTTTTCTGCTGCGCGGGCGAACTCCTCCCAAGTCTGATAATAAGGCATTATTTTAATATAGAAAAGTTACTATTCCACCGAAGAATCTGTTTGAATCAGCCGACCGGGGTTGCTATCTTCGGAACACCACATCAGCAGCAGCGTGAACACAGCCAATCAGAATCAAGAGGAACGTGGGGAATCTACTTCCGGGTTACCTTTTCAAAACAATAGCACGTTAGGCATAAACTGCAAAGTCTGTGCTATTAAGTAATATTTATTAACAACAAAGTAAAAACTCAATTAGTTAATATCTATTTGTATTTGTAAACCGCTCAATTAAAGATTAAAATGTTTCACAACAAATACATGATCTACAGACAATGCATCAACTCCCCATTCATTAGTTATAACTGCTGATCGCTTTCCAATTGTCAACAGCCACATTTCAAGGACTTTATAATATAAAAATAAACAGTGATTCTGTCTGTTGTTGATTCTTTGCATTGGGTTGAATCAATTACCAGTCAGAAAAGAGATACATAGCAACTACTGCCACCTTGTGCTCCGGAGTGTAGATCAGACAATGGATTTATAATCTAAATCCCAAAAACCTACACACACACTGAACTACACTTTATCCTCCATGTTTCATAACCTGTCATACTATAAAATCTCTATCCACGTCTGCCAACCTATTCCTGTTTTAAAAAAAACCTTGTATCCTGTAACCCATGATGTTTCATTCATGCTCAGTAATTCTTTTAATGTGAATCCCTGCACCTCTAGTTCCCTCAGATTATTCCTCATCATCCCCATCATTATACGTCCTACAACTAAGAACTACTTGCTCCACTGACTCCTCTTCCTGAAATCCCTCACACCAGCCTGCTCAAGGCCTGTGTTTTACAATGTCCCAACTTTAACCATGTCAATATAATTTCCTCTCTCCTTTGTCCACTAACCTACCCTTGTAAACTTTAACACTCCTTTGAATTTGAGATAGATATCTCCCTTTCCCTCTCTGTCCCACCCTTCTCAGCTCCACTAATACTAATTTGCATTTCTATGCTTCCTTTCTTTTTGCCAATTCATTCACCCTTTCATTCCCTTTCATCCAACTGTAACCCACTTAAATTTTATCTGACCTTGCTGATTTGCAATTGTTGTGACAGAACTTCATATTGCTGTTTGAATGGAAAGACCTTAAACGTGCTATGACTGAGGATAAATCTGAACATATCAACACTTTACCTTGTTTACTTTACCTGGCTGTAAGTGGTATGTCCACTAGATGGCAGACAGAGCTCAGATGTTTTTATTGGTGGCTATTTATGGATATTGAATGAACACACAAGACTGAATGAGCACTGTGTGGACATGACTTCATACTAAGCTTAGGTTAGGAGGTTCATGTCAACATTTGGCTGGAGAGGATCCTACAGTGAGAGCAGCAGGAGAGTGAGCTTCACTTCCCTCTGATCTAATGACATTCACTGCTTCAGCGTGTTAGATGTCACAATAACAGAGCTGGTGAGGAGTGGGTGGCGTGCTGACGGCTCATTCATCATCAGCTGAGTCAGCTGCAGCTCAGTCGCTCGAGTGAATGACTTGCATCTGTTTCAGTATCAAACACAGGGAAATGAAGGAGTCAGTGTTACAGTTACCACACCCACACGTTCAATTCAATTCAATTCTGATAATTCATTTGTCCCTTAAGAGGCAATTTGAGGCAGTGAGTGTGCAAAAAAGCACACACACAGGCAACTCAACTATACACATAAAAACACACTTTACAAAGAGTTAAAATACACCAGAATCTATAACAGTGGCAGGAACACGGGGGGAACAGTGTCCAGCACCACAAAGGTACACAAAAAAGAGCAAACTTCAAAATTACAAGTGCATTTTTCAGTTAATACAGAATGCAAACTGACCATTTCAAGTATGCAACATACATGTACATAAACACAACATGGAAACATACAGCAACATGTTATTATAATTACTAATACTTGGTCCTGGGAAGTGGCATTGACTCACAGACCTTAAAGGTCACACATGTTACATTACACGATCCATAAGAAGATAATTTCGTGGTTTCAAGAACCAAAAACCATCTCAGTGTAGTTTTACATCTCCTCTCTCAGGCTTCTCTCTGGAGCTCTAGGAACAACAGGTCGTTGAGCCAATCAGAAGAGAGAAGGCTCCAAGCCTCTGTTCTGATTGGCTGACTGTTTTCTAAGCGATCAAATAAAAAAATAGCAGATTTCAGGTCAAAACTTGGAGAAATGAAATCCTGCAAGGTTGGATGGTGGTTCCAGGTGGGCGGGGCTTGGGGCTTGACTGAAGGTAGTGACTGCTTTGTTGTGACATCACAAAGTTACGTAGGTCCTGACAGCTCGTTTTTGAGTATGGGCTGTGTGCATTTTGTCCATGGATTGCACACTTTGATACTTTCACAGTATTAATATAGAACCTAGATCTGCTTTATAATCAAAAAAGACATGGACATCTACCTTTAATATGGGACCTTTAACATAACCTTTTAAACACACAGTTTTTTAGATATTAAATCCCCCTGAAAACTCAAAACACTTGCATTGTGGAAGCAAATCTGCATCCTGTAAACTGCTTGAATTGTTTCCACACAGATTAAACTTTCCATCAATGTGCAGCAGAAGCATTACATAAAGGGAGAAGAACTCACAGTATGACCTTTGCCTTTACCTTTTTATTCTTCAGAAAATTCTTTCATAATCACATCAGACACTCTGCAGGGGTTGCCCAGCCTCCTTTAAACATAATCATCAGGGCATATCCACAGCAGCTTAAGGGTTCAGTCATGTTATTATTTTTTATTATGCATCACTGTCTTCATCACTACAAGTCAGATACAATCTGAGGCAGGGCTTTGTCTTCAGCTGGGTTTTATTTGCAAGGTCGGAAAGGAAAGATTCCCTCTTCTCAACAACATTCTCATGATGCTTTTTTTGCATTGCACTCTGAATCCAAACTCCAAATGTTAATGAGAAGGCAGTTTTTCTCACTCATTGAAAAGATGGAATAGCAGCGATATAAAGTTTTCACAAGATTCCAGTATTTTGTGTTTCAGCTGTGGTCTTCATAAATGCTCCTGTCACGGTCAATTGTTGCAGCAGTTGGCTTTATTTGACAGATAATACAGTATGTCCTCTCTGTCTTGTGACCTTGCCACACTTCATTCAGTTATGTCCCATCTCAGCTGCAGCTTTCCAGCCTTTTTATACACACTTGTTTTTCCCTGACTGCCTCTGACCTCATGCATGTTTTTGTACTTTGCCTTTTGTCTGCTGCCTTGTTGCCTGGTGATCCTGCTGGCTTGTTACTGACCACTGCCTGCCTGCTGACTACAACCTTTTGCCTAGCCCGTACCTGCTCTTCTCTACGCTACCTTTTAATAAGGGTGATGTGTTTGAACTTTTCTTTGGTGTCACTTAGCTGTGCGTTTGAGTCATGACATTTCCCACACTTCTTTAATGATTTAAAAGCCTGGTGAAAAATGTCACGTTATAGATGAAGTCACTGAAAATAGATAGACCAAGAAATGCAAACAATTTAGTATAAATCAGGCACATTCCTTTTTGTATGTTTATTGGTATTGACTTATTTAAGGCCTATGAAACTAACTTCTGATTTTCTTTGTCTATATGTTTATGTGGTTGCAGATATTTTTATCTCATCATCATTATTAAGACATAGGAAGAATAATAATGAAAAACTGGCCATATTGTTGATGTTCATGACGTAGAAAATGGATAAACTTTCCTCATTTAAAATGCAATTACTGACATGAGCCTCAGGTGACCTCGGGCAACAGCTTTATACTTTACAGATTTGCTGAGGTTTTTTTTGGCATGATAGCAAAATTTTAATCCACACTGTTCACATCAAACTCTATCTAATCTGTAACAGAGTTTATAGAGACCTTATGTATTGTCAAAGTGTCACAGCTGATGTGATCACATCACAAGATGTTGTTGACATCGTTAATGGTTCATTTCTACATTTAACATACTGTTTTTTCAATATTTGCCGGCCACTTTGGTCCCAGCTCATCATCTCAGACAGAAACACACAGCTAGAGATCCAACTCAGTTGTCAGGGGCAACCTGTACGTGCTACGTCCCACAAGTTGCGTCACTGCTGCCTTCACGTCCAGTTAGAAATCCAATCGTTTTAATACAGCGCGCACGACAGAGGCAACAAGCTGGCTTCTTAAACGCTGTTATAGGCTATACCCAAGTTTACAGGTGTGGGTTTTAGGTAAAGGACAGTAGAAAACAGAACTAGCTTAATACTACCTCTGTCTAATAAATTACCCTCACAACCTGGGACAATGTGTTATCATCCGTATTCTAGGCTACAATGACATACAACAGAAAACTGAGCTTCAAATAAAATTTCTCGTGTTTTCAAGTAGTTTTGAGCAAGTAAACTACATCTAATAAGATGCATCATGCTGACCAACTAATAATAATAATAATCTTTCCATCGCTTCAATGTGTGAGATTTGTCTAAAGTATACAACCAGATACTCGTTCTATCTTCTATTAACATTTAGCTAGCTAAGTTAGCCGTTTAGCTAAATTAGAAAGTGTTTCCAGTGTTTGTTTTTTTTTTCTTTTTCTTTTTTTTTGGTGACTGCGGATCTTCAGTGTAGGATCTCACAGTGCGGCCGTGAACGCAGCACGCACAGCAGCCAGCAGGCAGCGGCAGCAGACCGGTATCCGAGCGGCACAGAGCCGCATCTCACCGACACAAGTGCTTTAGAAAAAGCCCGGAGAAAACGCCGCTGTTGTCCACTTTCCCTCCCAGTGACTCTTCGCCACCAGCGGAGCCGCGATGCTCTAGATCATGTAGGATCGGACTGTTTCTTCTTTTTTTTTTCAATTCCTATTTTCTTTTTTTCTTTTCTTTTTTTTTGTAGTACTTTTACCGGATAGCCTGCAAACTGTGAAACCTCTCCATAGCCCCCATTCATCTGGTCGCCTGTAGCCTTGAACCGAGCGGTGAACTTTTTGTGAAAACTACAAAAAACAAGTCTCCCGTTGTCGATACCCAGTCTGTGATATATTTGGCCTGACAGCACTTGCGTCATGAGGTAAGAAGCTCTTAAATGTCTTTTTCTTTTTTTTCTTTTTTTTTTTAAATATGGACTATTATTAGAGAAAGTGACCGGGCAGGGGGCGATGACATGATCAAAGTCAGGAGTTGAGGCAGCAGAGAGAGAGAAAAAAAACCCCACAACAGAGCTATCAGCTCATGTTGCTTTGAAACGTGACAGACGGTTCAATATTGTGCTCCCGCAGCTCGTATTGAAGAAATGACCGTGTGCCTGCAGTGCCACGTTAGCCTTATTAAAACAGTGTGCATAATGTCAGCTCTGTAACGCCGACAAGCCGCCGACGTTACACTGACTTTGGTGCTGCATTTGTGGACGTGCATGGGGTTTGGAATGGCGCTGCTGCTGCTACTTCCACGCTGCATAAGAGGGATTATCTTCCAGCGCTGGTGATGGGGTTGCATTTGTTTGATGCCACATTATAATTGTCACACACACACACGCACACGCACACACATTATGCATCCACCACGACCTTTTGTGTGTGTGTGTGTGTTTGTGTGTATGTGCACATCGCTGCTTCTCTTTTCTATCTGCTGCTTTAGGGGCATTGGAGGATGACTGGCAAATACCCATGAATGTCTCTTTGCCTATAAACACACACAGCAGACCCCAAGCCTGTGCTTGTACAAATGACACATGACACACCACGCACGCCTGCAGACTTCATGACACATGTCAAAGGTGGCAGGTATAGGCTGCACCCATGTGACACCCAGTCTAGAGTCTTGCTGCTCTTATGTGGGATCAGATGTGCAGTTGTGAGGCGATGCATGTGTGGCTGTTGTGTAACATGCATGGAGTCATTGTTTCCTCACTGAACATGATGTTGGCTCTCTCATGAAGGGCCAGAATGACCCCAAGCTGTGTGTACTTAAAAGACAGTCAGTATTGATCAGTACTGAAGGGTGTGTGTGTTTGTGCCGGGCTGAAGATTCCAGTTTATTCTCCTGTGAGCGAGTTGCATCAAACATTGTTAGTGTATTTCACTTTCAAAGATTCTAAATCTCCTGTAACATTATTGCTGCACGCAGCTTGGAGTCCCTAAATCGTCTCTGGCAGCCTCACATTTGTGAAAAAAAAAACCCCTCGCTGCTGTGTTACCACCTAAGTGTCAAGGTCCTGGACTGGCCTTGTTCAGTGAGGACGGCGTGCTCGACTGCTGCCAGAGTAAATCACTTGAAGCAGTTTTTGTTACTTCATGTAGAATTTCCTTCCCCTCAGGAATGTGTCCTTTAAAAAAAAAAAAAAAAAAAAAACGCCCGGGGCTGCTGATGAGCGTGACTTTAACTGGAATCTGTTGGACATGGCAGATACTTCCTTCTGCGAGAAAGTTCAGATGTCAAAAGAGCTGTGTGACCTTGATTTTTATTTATTTTTTTCTCTATCCATGATCTAACTTTGTGTGTTAAGAAGTGAGACACGCAGCGTGGATGGGGCCGGCCCCCTTTAAGAAAGCCCCTAATTGAATCCAGCTGTTGGAATCTCTCTGTAGGCCAAACTGCAGTTTAACAATAGCTTTGTTTGTTTCAGAGATTTCGCATGTTAGGGTCCGTGTCCCAGAATGGAAACCGCTAACTCCTTCATCTCTCTCATTTCTTCCCCCTCTTCTTCTTCTTCTCGTACTTATTAACAACTCTCTCTCGTCAGCTGTTTGGAGCCTGATGTGTTTTGGAGCCGATCTCTCTTCAGACTGAAACTGAACATGGTCAGACCAGAGAAATGTGTGTCCGGAGGGGGTGTATCAGTGTGTCTGTGGGGTGTAACAGGTGTGTGTGTGTGTGGTGGCCTCAGCTGTCTGGAGCTGACTCACGCAGGACACTTGTGGCAGTGTGTTAGTGTGCCGTTCGGTTGTGCGGCCGTGTGTCACAGGCCTCAGTTAATGGGCCGCCGGCTATTCAGGACATAGAGGAGGAGTTTGGTGTTATCTGGTCATTTGACTTGGCACCAGAAGCCGACTGATTTCCAGTAACTGAAGGTTGAAGGCTGAGAGATGTTTGTCGTGCATGAACGTTTCACGGTCAGCAGCAGTGAAAGTTGCTGAGAAGCTGAGATGTAAATACTTAATTCTTGGTGTCGCCTCTGATTTCCTGAATCGATTCACAAGGTCCTGATTCGTGTGATACCGCTTCAGTTATTTTAGTTACAACACCAGTTCCTCAGAGAGCCGATGCTGGTAACTGTTCCTCTAACCTGCTGCTTTCTATAAAAAAAAAAAATAGAAATGTTAACAGTTACATTAATGCACTTCTTAATTTAACTTGACCGACAGCTTAGACACCCATTTGCAGTGTGTACCGGCGGCTTCTTCTTCTGTCGGCTTCTTCTCGCACATCTTTTCGTACGGATTTCCTTTTGTCCAGCTCTTCTCTTGTCTTCACAGTTTTCAAACTCTGAAATGCAGCCTACACATTTGCCTTCGCAGCAGATTTAGTTGCGTGAGCTGGCTGGTCACGGGAGACTAACGAGGTTACAGCTTCACACATCCACAGGAGACTGTAAAAGGCGAAATATTAAAGATTGGTCTCGGGATTTTATGAATCGATATCGGATTATTCGATTGAGGATTGATTTGAATCAGAAAATGTTTTCAACCGAGCCTTAGTAACACGACCTTTAAGTTCCTCTCGTCTTGTTGAAATGAAAAAAAAAGAAAGAAAGAAAAACTGGTTCTGGAGGCATCTGGACATCTACTCCTACTGGGCCCCGCCCACCACCACCTGCTCGCTCCAGGTTGACAGGTGAGAGAGCAGAGAGTATCCAGACGCTTAGAGGAGGAAACATCAGAAACCGACAAGGTTTCAGGTGTATTTAGCCCCGCCCCCTGTCCCCACAACTCGACAGGATTGGTTCCTTAGGTTCGTGACATACGAAACCCTGGCTGTCTGAATCTGTTGTTATGAGACTGTCATCGGATCACTGCAGTTCAAGGAGGAAACACTCAGTCATGGTGTTGACTGATTGTCTCACTCATCATGTGTCTTGTATTACATAGAAAACACCATATGGATGTTGACAAGGTTAAACTTTACTTTAATGGTTTCAGGGCTGCAGATAATGATTATTTTCTTTATTGATTTAAAAAGTCCAAAACCAAAATCATCTGCTCCAGTAGTAAAGAACCATTAGACCATACTGTGAACCACGGCAGCAGGAGCAGCTGGTTTTACAAACAGACTTGGTGGTGGGTTTAACCCGTCTGTTAAGGTCACAGATACCTGGCTGGGGCACATTCCTAACCCATGAGGATAAGATTTCATATATATAATGGTGGTCCTGTTTGTTTCCCTGCGTCGTGTCAGGCCCACATGTAACACTGATGTCAGCTTATCTCCGGCCGCTTGATAAGCCGCGTCGTCGGAGCGACGGGGCTGTGAAGTGTCATGGTAACGAGCCTTGACAATCGCTGAAAGGCCTCGTGCCTCCCGGTCGCAGCAGGTTCACACCACGCATGAATGACAGGAGCTGAGGCCGGGAACTTTTTTTTTTATTTTTTAAATCTATCTAACCTCCGCAGTGGAAGGAAAACAGCCTCAGACTCTGGAGTTTATGGACTGTGGCTACTTACTGTATGTTGTCCCATCCAAATGAGCTATTAATGAGGTCAGGCTGAGTTTAATTTGAAATGTGAATACACTTGTCATGTACATTGATTTAAAAAGCTTAAGCCACAGTCACTGCTGGAGTTTTATTGAGTCTAGACGGAGAAAGAGAGAGAGAGAGAGAAAGAGAGAGAGAGATACACAGACACAGTGAGAGGGGAGCTGATAAATAGGCTAATAGATCGCGGAGCTGTAATATCGTTATAAGACGTATGACTTCATTATCAGACAAACACACCGACCTAAATCTCAGTTAATGTCAATATCACAGTTGTTGTTGGTAACTCCCAGGGCCTCAGATTTCCTCAACAACAGTACTTTGTTTGTGTCTGTCCTGTTGTGGAACTAAATCTATCCCCTAAAGACGTGTGGATCTCATCAGACAATGAGCCATGTCCCGATTCAGGGGCCCACGAAGGTGTGGCCCTTCGTAAACCGTACCAACGTGAGACGGTTTTGGCCTACAGTGGATTTTCGCTTTGTGTCACCGCTCTGTGCCCGCCATTACTGTTGCTCCTGACGCCTAGCAACCTTGACAACGCGTAACTTTTTTTTTTTTTGTTTTTTTCAACTGCGGTCGTGCAGCCTCCGAAGGAAATTAAGTTTTTGTACGCGGCTGTAAACATGTTTGTTTCTGCTGTGAAGTTGACGGGGGATTCACTCACTTTCAGCCTCAAGTGGCCATTCGGAGAAGTGCAGTTTTTGACTCTTCCTTGTTGGCTTCATTTTTCAGCCCTGCGGCAAACTGATCGTGATTTTAGTCGAGGAGACTTGGAAAAATGTTCCCACACTGAGGGAAAAAAAAAAGGTCTTTTGATGCCAAATGCATTTTTGTTAAGTTTATAAATCTCTTCAGTCGCCTCTTCTCTGTTATTGTCCCGGTCCAAGTGCAGAGACTAATCCAAAGTTTCCCTCCAGATCCGCTGTTAATCCATGCACAGCCATCGATGTGACTTTATATTTCTCTTATGGCGGAGACTCGACTGTAATATTGAATAATTCATATAAAATGCCAGATAGAAATCATTAAAACTGACTAATCAGCTGGAAGAGCCTCAGCTGAACTGTTCAAGCCAAACTCGTACAATGTCTCCTCTCCCTCCAACCAAACTGTGTCTGTTTCTCTGCAGCTCTGACTGTTTCCAGAGGGGAGATCCAGCTATAAAATGCTAAGTGCACGTGAATGGGAGAATGAAGTTATTGTGCTCCAGTGATTTTCTTTGAAGTTTTTTTTTTTTTGGGTGGGAGATTTGGATCGCGGCTGGCACCTTGCCACCATCTGCTCCTTGCACCCCCCCTCGTCCCCCCCTTATCTCTCTCGCTCCTTCTCTCCTCCCTCTGCAGCCTCTCTTTGCCAATCCATCCTTAATCACACTC